GGGGGGAGGCAGCGGCGGAGGAAGCATCCGGTGGGCGATCACTCGATTCAGACGTGGCGGGGTCATCGGATTGCCCGGACGTTGATTCAACCGGCGTTTTCCCCGGAGGCATTGACGGGGGGGAGGTACGTGGTCACAGGGAGCGCGGACGGCCGCCTCTTTGCCTACGACACTTTGGCCGCAGAGGGGGAAGAAGCGGGGCAGGCCGGGCGGGAGGACGGGCGGGCGGTGGAAAAGCTGGCTTTCCACGACGACGTGGTTCGCACCGTGGCGTTTGCGCCTCAGGTGGACCTGATGGTGTCCGCAGGGTGGGACGGCAGCCTGGGCCTGTGGCGTTTCCAAGGACAGCGGGCCAAGGGGGAGGGGGGGGAAGGGAGCTGAGAGGGGGAGGAAGGGTGGATGGTGGAGCTGGAGAGGTAATCCCCCCCCCCCATGCTGTGAGGATGTACGTGTGGAATAAAATGGGGCCAGGGTGTTTCCTCCGCGAAGGCAGGGGCGGACGGGGCGTGGTGCCAGTGGGTGCGAAAGCCGGTGCCGGGCGTGGGAAGGGGGAGGGAGAAAGGGTGGGGAGACCGTGGTCAAAGACATCGCGTGCACGTCGTAGGAGGAAGTACGTCGGGGGCCTTGGAATTGTAGATAATCTGCAAGAGGAAGGAGAGTGGTTGTGTGGAAGGGAGCCATGTCTACATGCGGTGTGTACGAGACGAAGCGAATCAAGCTGCAGTTTAGAGGGGAGACAAACCTATGAAAGACCAGCACGGCGCATCCAATCGAGCTTCCTCAGGAAAGGCAGGGAGGCATGGCTCGTCCCCAGGATCTCATTACTTTTACGCTGTGTTCACATGCATCGGAGCCGCTTGCTCTTGATACTGTGCTTACAGCAATTACGGCAGCTCCCACCGCTTCTTTTTCACCTCCCACGCGACCCCAAGGCCTCCCTCAAGCCTCTTTCTTCGAGGAAAACATGGTGGTGTACGGATCGTACTCATTGCCTTCCTTGGCAATCCGGGCAAAGTGTTCTCTCAGCGTGATCTGCCCGTATTGCTCGCCCCTCCCAGTGGCCAGCATGTCCTCCACGGCATAGTACTTCCCGATGCGCGCTAGCTCCGCCGCATCCTTGGCGCCGTCGAAAAATTGCGCGAAAAAGTCGATGGTCCCGATGATGGCGTCGAACAAGCCGATCGGCACGGCGATGAACCGAGGCTCCTTCCCCACCACCTCAAAGAGGATCTCCGCCTGCCGCTTAGGGGTCAATCCCTCGTCCGGCCCGCCCACATCCAGCACCTGGTGGTGCATGCTTTGGTCGTCGATGCTTTTCACAATGTACTCGGCCAGGTCGGCTTCCGAGATCGGGTTGCACTTGCAAATTTCTCCGTCCCCGAACATGACGTAGGGGTAGCCCTTTTGCACGATTTCAAGCTGCCCGCTCACGCTTTTGAAGAACGCCGTGGGCCGAATGATGGTAGAGGTGATTTCGTCCTGCTTCCCCCGTAAATAATTCTCAAATTTCAGCTTGGCATGCTGGAAGACAAGCTCGGGCTTGCGGACACAAAAAGCGGAGAGCATGACGAAATGCTGAGCGGGCGTCGGAGCGTGCAAGGACGCGTCCAGCAAATGCACGTTAGCCTGATGATCCACTTTCCAGGCATCTGCGGGCGCACCGCTTCGGCTGGCTATGCAGGATATCACCACGTCCACGGGCTCTTGGAAAAGCTTGGCTTCAACTTCAGCACTGTCATCCAAGCTGCCCCCAATGACCTCGGCCCCTTTCAAATAATCCAAGCTTTTTGCCCGTTCTATGCTCTCTTCTCGCACGTACGCTTTTGTTTTGTATCCTCTTCGTACGCATTCTCGTACAACGGCCTTGCCAATATAACCCGTCGCGCCCGCCACAGCGACAGTGAGCTGACTTGGTGGTTTGCCAGCCACAGGACTTGTGTGCAGCATTTGCAGGCGAGAACGCGATTGGTAGGGCGTAGCAACCTGAAACGATGGCACGAACCATTTGGCAGTGGCGTATCTGGATAATTCCGAAGAGTAAACGTGAAATGTTGATAGCCCAAAAGGAATGGAACGTCTACCGAGCAGGAGGGGAGTAGTACAAGTTTGTGCCAAAAGATGCCCCCCAAGATACAAATGGACGGACACGTCTGTAAGCCCCTCACGTAGCCTTTTAATCCATGTGCGTGCAGAATTCTAGCATCCCAAATGCCTTGTAAGCGTGCACATTGCGATATGGATCATTGTCTTCAAGGCTCCCAGTGTGCACTTACCGCGTCATCGGGAGCGGACAGGGAAGAAAACTGAACGTCGTCTTGACCACCAAACAGGCCACGAACAGCGGCAAAACTGTAACTGCCTTCATGGCTGCATGGTATGCATGTACATGAGGGTAAATGTGAGAGAAAAAAACGTAAAGGTCTCTTTTTAAAGGTATGAAAAAGGAGATACGGGAACACTTGCCATCCGCGAGTGCCTCATGAAACTCGCGTCGTACACAGGGTCTTTTCGCTGTGCCTCGATGGCATAAGAGTCCGAGCTGGGTATCCCGTGTCGAACAAATGTGAAAGAGGAATTAACAGGTACATGTAAACACGCTGTGTTGTACGCGGCCTTGTGGAGGAGTTGCTAAATTGATAAACGCACTCATGCCGTCGACCTCCCCCCCCTTGGCCCGAGCAGTATGGCACCTGCCTCTTTTTCCCCGCAGCACACCAAGGGACGCAAAAAAAGAAAACGCGACGCGGCCAATTCATCCTCTTACTCACATACAAACGGTCGCAATGCCATTGGTGGGGTCCGCTCGATCACATCCGCTCATCGGAAACGCCCTGTCTGCGTGACGCGGGACATCTTCACCCAGCTCTTAGCTCCCCTCTCCCCCGCCGCCTTCGTGCGTGATCACTACGACCAAAAGATCCCATTAGTGGTAAAAGGTCATGATTTTACAACCTTGTGCGATCAAGGCCTTGAAAGTGGAGACATTCGTGCCCTGTTGGAAGCAACGCCGAGTGAAAACATCAGCGTCTGGACCGTCTCTGGCCCCTCCCAACGCATCAACACCGCGCGAGTCCAAGACGCAGGCAGCGCCATGGCCCTGTACGAAGCCGGACATAGCGTGTATTGCCGAGCACCAGAAGAATTGGAGGGCGTTCTGGTAGACTCGACCATTGCGGCCTTGGGGCTAGGGGGTGGGAAGGAGACAGGCGTGAAGCAAGTGATCGAGGGGGAGGTGGAGCTCTTCTTGAGCCAAGCGGGCCACCGCACCCCTTTCCATTTCGATTTCCAGGAGAATATAACCCTGCAAATCAAAGGACGGAAACGGTGGCGGCTGCGAAGGGGGCTGACGAACCCCGTGCGGGGGTGTACGCCGCATTACCGCCAAGCAGCCGGGGTGGTGGATCCGGCGGGGGAGGAGCAACTGAAGGT